TAACATTTAACTTGAATTCACTACTACATGTTGATAAGATGTGAGGTCAAAATAAATGCAAAAATAGCAACTACACTATAAGGGTAGGCCTAGGCCTAAATTATTTCTATTCATTTAACTTGAATTCACTACTACATGTTGATAAGATGTGAGGTCAAAATAAATGCAAAAATAGCAACTACACTATAAGGGTAGGCCTAGGCCTAAATTATTTCTATTATTATTATAGAATTCACTACTACATGTTGATAAGATGTGAGGTCAAAATAAATGCAAAAATAGCAACTACACTATAAGGGTAGGCCTAGGCCTAAATTATTTCTATTATTATTATTATTTATTATTATTATTATTAGTACTATAATTATTATTATTTATTATTATTATCATTATAATTACTATATTATTATTATCATTTAACTTGAATTCACTACTACATGTTGATAAGATGTGAGGTCAAAATAAATGCAAAAATAGCAACTACACTATAAGGGTAGGACTAGGCCTAAATTATTTCTATTATTATTATAGAATTCACTACTACATGTTGATAAGATGTGAGGTCAAAATAAATGCAAAAATAGCAACTACACTATAAGGGTAGGCCTAGGCCTAAATTATTTCTATTATTATTATAGAATTCACTACTACATGTTGATAAGATGTGAGGTCAAAATAAATGCAAAAATAGCAACTACACTATAAGGGTAGGCCTAGGCCTAAATTATTTCTATTATTATTATTATTTATTATTATTATTATTAGTACTATAATTATTATTATTTATTATTATTATCATTATAATTACTATATTATTATTATCATTATTATTATTAATATTATTATTAATATTATTATATTATTATTATTATTATGGCCATTGCCAAAAGACAGGAACCTGAAAAGTAAATTTAATCACTATAACACAAGTTCAGTTTCATTACCACCCCCCACCTCAAAAAAGAAAAAAAATGAATAAAAACATACCATAAACAAAAATATAAAACATAACCATATTTAAGTCACTAATATAAATTGAGCATATAAAAAAATATATTGATTGTAAAATTATTCAAAGTGTGACATTCTCTGTTTGTAATGTTTTTACTTATAGAGTACTTGTTACGTTACGATACCACGTGATACTACCCTGTTGCTATTGTTGCAAAAAGAATTCAACCGGGCGCCATTTTCTTCACTGACAAACCATTGATCCCAATTTCTAACGTCATTATTAAGATGTTTTATCTTACTTTTTCTTTGTAAATTTTAATTAATGATTAAATGTGTGTTCGATAACTAATATAATGTGAGCTTTTGTGTTTTTAGTACATTTTGATGGTAAAATATTAGATTTTAAAATGCCTATTCTAGAAAGCCTATGAAGTCATTCAGACGTAATGAACGGTAACCAATGTGACGACACAAATGTGCTACTCTATACTGTAGTAAAACATACCATAACACATCATAGAATTACACAATCATTTTTGCATAACCACATTGACTCTTGGTTGTTCTGTGCTACTGCTACTTCCCTCATTATACAAATAACCAAAATATACTGTATTCTTTTATGTATCTTGTAGGACCCCCCCCCCCTCTCTCTGCACTACAATATGGTAAGAAGTCTTGACATCTTTGATTCGAAGGGTCAATGTCATGTGTTGCCAATTGTTCACGATCTCAAAGTCATTCTTTTTATTTTTACCATAATAATTTCCTTCGCGTAACCATAATTAACACTGTCTAACCACATTTTTCCTGACTTTCCCCTTGATGGATTTCCCCTGCAATTTTTCCGTGTCAGAATATGATATGTAAAATAGCCACTAGATTTTGTTTCCTTTAAACTTAATTTTTATTGTGTAATATGCTTTGAAACTAAATAAATTCACAATGATAAATTTTGTTAAATGTTTTGTATGTAGATAAATATATTTTAAAGAAAACAAAAACAAGTCTTAATAAGATAATAAATTGTATCATTTACTGTACTTATTTATTTTACATTTACTTTTTAATTATTCTTACTGTTTCTTCATTACACTTACTATTTTTTATACATACCCGTATTTACTTATTTGCTTATGTATTCATTAGACAATTGTGTTGAAAGTCAACAATGACTTAGGTGTTGAAAATTTGAAAATCATTGTACTCTTTATGGAGTTATATTCTTCTACACCAGTATGCTAAGTAATTTAGTAATTGCTGTACTATTTCCAACATCTCTTTAATTTTTATTTACTTTATCCTATAGCAAGTACACTGGTGTGTTTTCATACAAGATGGACCAATGTTATCTATGAATAAAGTCTTCTTATAATGAGGCTTAATAGGGAGTGGTGTCTCATAGGCCTATAAGGCTTAGGGAGTAGAGTTGTTTGTAGTCATTAGAAAAATTCCTTTTCTCTTACAGCATATAAAATCATACTTGGAAGGAAGGCATGCATCTTAACCTCTTAGCTACAGTCATTGGCAGGGATGATGGAGAGAAGTGGGGAGGGGATTCGTGCTTAGCTCATTCGTCAGACAGGCAAAACCCCCAATGGCTACAACTTGTTTAACTAAAATTAATGTACCAATTTTTTGGGCATTGCTTGATAGATAAAATAAAACAATGCAAACCACTTACAAATGACAGAGGTACCCAGTTTCTCAAGGAATAATGTGCTTATCCCTCACATTCCACTCCAGGATTTCACCCCATTAGATTCTTCCAGAATTTCCAGAATTCCTTGATGGACAAATTTCACTTCCCCCTCCCCAGAGCCCCCTCCCCAGAGCCATGATTTGCTAGTTTCATTATTTAAAAGAAAATACAACAAATTGAACACTTAATTAGATCACTCTTCAAAGGTAAATATTCCCCAGTTCATTGACTTTAACTGCAAAATTCCCAACTTCACAAATAAGCATGGAACAGAAACAGAAACAATAATTGGACACAACATCGATCCTAAAAATAACTTGTTGTTGGAATCTAAATCTCTGCTGGTTTACAACAAGATGAAGCCATACAATGAGAATGTTTTCATCAGAGATTAGTTTAAATTTTAATTCTTTTTGTATTAAGGATTTTCTTTATGCATCAGATTGAGAAGCCCTGGGATGTTGATTTTAAATAATTTTTGCAGTTATGGAAATTATAGTGTGGTGGAATTCTAACTTAAATATTTTACTCAAATTTCGCAATGAGTTTGTTAAAAAAACACACATTGATTTTACTTAACTGAGTACCAATTAACATCGTTAAACAGATCGAAGCAATTTTTTTTAATATACAAACTTTTTTTGATAATTTTTGAATTGTTTGCCACCCAATTTAAATCTATGTAAAACATAAAGAAATTATTATTAATGCATCTTTAAAATCTTATTTAAAATTTTAACATGAAGAATACAACATACATAAACACCTAGGCCATCTTAACATGTTGCAATTAGGTTTTTTAATCATAACAAACAATATTATCCATTTCATGACTTTATATATTTTATAACCATATCTTGGAAAGATAATTCAATTATTTACTTTCTGAAATATTTAAATTAAATGCAATTTGTTTTTGTCACTAATTGGCCATCGGCAATGTTTATTTTGGTCACGTATTCACAAACCTTTGAAATTGATGTACTCTGGTTTTCATTCCGTTTTCTATCAAAGCTACTAACCATTCGTATGAAAGTAATGTTCAATGAAAGATTGTTATCCATAAAATGTAGTGGTGAACCCTATAGTTTGTAGGGTGAACTAATGTATGCTTTAAATTAGTATGCGTTCCATCTGACTGAATATAATTATAAACTTAGGAATGTAGTTAGATATATTAGGAATTGAGGTTGATATCCCTTATGTATTAGAAAAATTACTTTTCCTCTACCATTTCTTTTCTTTCTGTTTCTCTTTTTTTATTGTTCATCCTGTTTTTTTCTTTGTTTCCACACTTCTCTTTCCACAAATCAGTGTGCATGTTCCTGTTTTAGGGTCAGAGCTTCTAGGTCAATTAATTGATCTTTTTCCTCCTACTACTCTCTCTGATTCAACGTTCAAGTGTATGTAATTAAGAACACAGAGAAAAAGAACTGGGCCGACGATGACAATGTCTGCCGACAAAAAGTGAGCACATTCCCGAAAGGTTTTCACAGTCTGTACACATGACTGGAAACTAGAATCTAGGTCTCTGTTTATTGATATCACATCAAGATGCAAGGTTCAGTAGCAGCAGCAAAAATCTCTTGCATGATGTGCCTATATA